TGTTTACAGGGCATGAGTATAATATTGATTAAATATAGTATAATAATACATAAAAATAAAGGGAAAAAAATAAATAAATAAATAAATAAATAAATAAATAAATAAATAGAATAAATGTACCTGCAAAATCATAAGGAGATACATCAAAAGGAAGAGAGGAACAAAAAAGATGAAAAAGAAGGACACCTATAGCCCAACTATCTTTTCTTTCTGATGTTAATATTCTTCTTTTCTCGTATAATTGGCATCGCATATTCTCTGGTGGTAAATAGCGACGAGTACCATTTACGCACTCTGTATTCTGATTTATTGGCTGTAAAAAAAGGACAATTAATTAATTAAATTAATTAATTAATTAATTAATTTATTTATTTATTTATTTATTTATTTGTTAAAAAAAAAAGAAAAAAAATTAACCCCATAAACCCTATTATTCTTATTCATATATTCACTGGTTGTACCATTTATACATTCTTTATTCTGCTTAATTTGGTGTAAATAAATAAATAAATTAATTAATTAATTAATTTAAATAAATAAATAATATTAATTAACTAATTCATTAATAATTAAAAAGAAAAAAAAAAAAAGGAAAAAAAATGACCCCCGTAAACCCTAACATTGTTGCATATTCGCGAATCAAGGGTTGGTGTCTATCTAGGGTTTAGGGTTTAGGGTTTAGGGTTTAGGGTTTATTTACTGTGCATAGGCCGTTATCTCCTAGGTAGATTCGTCCATCTTTATTAATAAAGAAGTTTGGGGCTTTTATATCCGAGTGTACAAGCCCCATTGCATGCAGACTCATTGCTGCACTGCATGCACAACAAAATAAAAAAGGAAACAAAGAAAAAAGATAAGAAAGAGACAAAAAGGAGACAAAAAGGAGACAAAAAGGAGACACTCTATTCATACATAACAACAACAGAGACCTATTCTACACACATCCACAAACAACCCCATATACACCAAAAAAGGGTTTAGGGTTTAGGGTTTAGGGTTTAGCTAGGGTTTAGGGTTTAGGGTTTAGATGTCTTACTACATAACCTGTTTAGTGACTTCAATTCTGACGGGCATTCGTCCCTTCCATATCTCGCTTATACTAAGAAGATCTCCTGTAACAAATAAACCCTAAACCCTAAACCCTAAACCCTAAACCCTAAACCCTAAACCCTAAACCCTAAACCCTTTACTAAGTATAAATAATACAACAACATACAGACATCATTAGAAGCAGGAAAAAAAGAACTATGAGCAGCAGCAGCAGCAACAGCAGCAGGAGCAGCAACAAGAACAACAGTAGCAAAAGGAGGAGTAATTGAATAAAATTACCTGCAAATACATCAAATATAACCCATTCTTGTGAATAAACAATGGTGTCTCCATGAGAGGCGACAATCTTATCTATTGGCTCTATTAAATCTAATGGTATTACTACTTGAGATATTTCTGCCCTATATAGACGAGACACACACACAATAAGGAGACACACAATAAGGAGACACAATAAGGAGACACAATAAGGAGACACAATAAGGAGACACAATAAGCAGACACAATAAGGACACACAATAAGGAGACACAAGGAGACATAAATAGGAGACATAAATAGGAGACACAATAACGAGACACAATAAGGAGACACAAGGAGACACAATAAGGAGACACAATAAGGAGACACAAGGAGACACAATAACGAGACATAAATAGGAGACATAAATAGGAGACATAAATAGGAGACACAATAAGGAGACACAATAAAGAGACACAATAAGGAGACATAAATAGGAGACACAATAAGGAGACGCAATAAGGAGACACAATAAGGAGACATAAATAGGAGACACAATAAGGAGACACAATAAGCAGACACAATAAGCAGACACAATAAGGAGACACAACAAGGAGACATAAATAGGAGACACAACAAGGAGACACAAATAGGAGGCATAAATAGGAGACACAACAAGGAGACACTTATAAAAAGGAGACACTTATAACAAGGAGACATTTATATAAAGGAGACATTTATTTATTTATTTATTTATTTATTTAATTTATTAATTTATTTATTTATTTATTTATACTATATAAAAGGAGACACTTATATAGGAGAGAGGAAAGTAGACGGGAAAAGGAGACAGTAAAAGGAGACAGAAAAAGGAGACAGTAGAAGGAGACCCAATAAACAAGGGGGAGACAGTAAAGGAGACAATAAAAGGAGAGAAAAAAAAGGAGAGAATTTATTACCATTGTTGTACATCTAGTCCTGGTGGTACATGTCTCCATAAGGATATTTCTTGCTGTACCCTCCTCTTGAGTACATCTTGGTCATACTGGGGGCCCCTCCTGCTCCTATTCCTTAATCTGCAGACTTTTACAGCTAAACGACGATTATTTGTTATATCTATTGCCTATATATAAAAAAATATATACAAAATAAATATATATACCCTAAACCCTAAACCCTAAACCCTAGAAAACCCTAGAAAACCCTAAACCCTAGAGAAAACCCTAAACCCTAAGGGAGTAGAAATGATTGAAAAAAACTCTAAACCCTAGGAAGGTCTAAACCCTAAAAATGATAAGAGTTTATAAAGATTGGCTATCTACGAGGGTTTTGGGTATTTATTCTAGGGTTTATCAAGGGTTTATTTATAAGCTAGGGTTTAGGGTTTATTAGGGTTTAGGGTTTACCGAGAGTACAACTCCTATTCCTCCTGCACCTAATACATCCGTAAACACTAATTTAAATCTTCCTCCTCTTCTTGCTGCACTCGTCACTGTTATCTCCTTATTAAAACCATACGCTTCTTGCCATAAGGCCTGCAGCAGCAGCAGCAGCAGCAGCAGCAGCAGCAGCAACAGCAACAACATAAAGAGTAAGACAACAAACAACTTTTATTCGTGCATATGCTCTAGGGTTTATATATAATTTACGGTTTAGTCTCTTTTTTTAATGATTTATCTAGTATTTAGTGTTTATCTAGGGTTTAGGGTTTAGGGTCTAGGGTTTATTACCCTTTCTTTAGAGAGTTCGGGTGTAACTGTCTACCCAATTAGATCCTATAATAGATGAGTGTTTAGTGTTTATCTAGTGTTTATCTAGTATTTATGGTTTATCTAGTATTTATCAAGGGTTTAGGGTTAATCTAGGGTTTAGGGTTTAGGGTTTAGGGTTTACCCTTTCTTTAGCGAGTTCGGGTGTAACAGTGTCTCCAATTAGATCCTGTAATAGATGAGTGTTTAGTGTTTATCTAGTGTTTATCTAGTGTTTAGGGTATTTATCATATATTTATCAAGGGTTTAGGGTTAATTTAGGGTTTAGGGTTTAGGGTTTACCCTTTCTTTAGAGAGTTCAGGTGTAACAGTGTCTCCAATTAGATCCTGTAATAGATGAGGATGTAAGACTCTTGGATCAGGGGACCAACGGAGACCTTTTATTTGGAGACACTTCTTGCTCTCTGCGTAGTATTCATGAGGAGCTTTTTTGTCTCCTTCTCCTCCTCCTGCTGCTCCTCCTGCTGCTCCTGCTGCTCCTCCTGCTGCTCCTCCTGCTGCTGCTGCTGCTGCAGTTGTATAAGGGAATACACGAGAGGATAATGGGGCACCTGCTGCTAATCCTACTCCTCCTCCTCCTGCTGGTGCTGAGCCACCTGCTATTGCTGCTGCTGCTGCACCATCCATACCTGCTGCTCCTCCCCACATCTGTACCACAGCAGCAGCAACAGCAGCAGCAGCAGCAGCAGCAGCAGACACATAAAGAAACAAAAATGTGTTGAGATACTTTGTATACCTCCACTACCTGCTCCTGCTGCTGTTTTGCTGCTGCTGCTGCTGCTGCTGCTGTTTTGCTGCTGCTGCTGAAGTGTTGCTTACCTCTCCATTGTAAGGCTGTTGCCCTTGGGGGCCCCCCGCTGCGTCCATATTGGGGGCCCCTGTAGGCAGCTGCTGCTGTCCCCTTTTTGTTGTAGAGGGGCCCCTACCAGGGGGGCCCCTAGGGGGGACATCGGTACCCAGTCTTCGTGTAGATAAACCTAAAGAAAGAGGAGGGGGCCCCTCATCAGGGTTCGTCTCCTCTGATGGGTCCACGGGGGGCCCCTCAAAAGGGTACTGGGAGGGATCAGGAAAAGGGTACTGGATGGGGCCCTCTAGAGGGTCCAATGGGGGCAAATCAATAGAGTCAAGAGAGGGGCCCCCAAGAGAGTCATCGGGGGCCCCCTCAAGAGAGTCCTCGGGGGCCCCCTCCATAGCTGGGGAGACACCTTGGTGCAGCAACGAATCAGGATAAGGGGGGCCCCCCTCCATTATAGGGAAATCTTCATAAAGCCCCAAACCGTGCAGCGCATGCAGGCGTGCATGCAATGCCTCCTCGGGTACAGAGGTAGAAGGGGGCAACAAAGCAAAGGGGCCCCCAGGGGCCCCCAACTCATCTTGTCCCTCTGCTGCTGCTTCTGCTGCCTTAATACGCTCAGGAAGAGACAGATCAAGTAAGGCAATTATACGGGAGACAAGCTCCTCCTGCTGCTGCTGCTGCTCCTGCTGCAGCTGTTGCTGCTCAGGTGTTGCTGCTGCTGCTGCTGTCTCCTCTTGGGGGGCCCCACTAGAGGGGACTGTTACTAAATCATAGCCAAAACTCTTGGTTGCTGCTGCTGCAGCAGCAGCAGCAGCAGCAGCAAACCCTTCCTTAAGGCTGGCTAGGCCCCAAAAGGAGACACTTTGAAAGGAGACACATACATAGCCACACAGCAGCAGCAGCAAACCTGCAGCAGCAGCAGCAGCAACAGCAGCAGGAGGGTTTAGCCTAACAGGTCGGGGAGACCCCATAGCGGTGCTGCTGCTAGATGCATACCGATAAAAAAGGGCAAAGATAACAGACAGCTGCTGCTGCTGCTGCTGCCGCACTTGCTGCTGCTGCTGCTGCTGTGCTGCTGCTGCTGCTGTCGCTGCTGCTGCTGCAATACAATGAAGAAAGGAAGAAGAAAAAGGGGGAGACCCACAAAAGCACAACAGCGAGTTGCTGCTGCAGCTGCCCTCTAGGCAGCAGCAGGTGGCAACAACAAGGAACACGAGCTGCTGCTGCTGCTGCTGTTGCTGCTGCTGCTGCTGTTGCTGTTTTGTGCTGCTGTAGCTGTTGCTGCTTCGGCTGCAGCAGACGATCCCCTAGCCAGCCGTTGTTGCTGCTGCTGAGGATACTCTTGCTGCTGCTGTAGCTGTTGTTGCTGCAGGTGTTGCTGCTGCCGTAGCTGCTGCTGCTGCTGTTGAAGTTCAATCTTTCTTCAGTGCTGCTGCAGCTGCTGCTGCTGCTGCTGCTGCGGAGGAGGCCAAAGGGGCCTGCTGCTATAACTTTCTTTGTTTGTTTGTTATGTTGCTTATAGGGAAATAAAAAGAAAAGAATATTAATTAAATAAATATATAATTATTATTTGCTGCTGCAGCAGAAGGAAGCAGCAGCAGCAGCAAAAAGGGAAGGGATCGTTGCTGTAGTACTGAGGGAGGGCAGGTGTACCTTTAGTAGTATATTACCGATCTTTGGGGCTGCTGCTGCTGCTGCAGCAGCAGCAGCAGCAGCAGCAGCAGTATTCTTATTGCATTTATCTTCTTATAAAGGAATTTATTCTTATAAAAAGAATGAAAACATATTCTTTATATAAAGAAGGAGAAGAAAAACCCTAAATGAACTGCAGCGCAGCAGCAGCAGCTGCTGCAGCAAATCACCAGCAGCAACAGCAGCAGCAGCAACAGCAGCAGCAAAACAGCTCCCTGTGGTCTTATTGAGGTTAATGATTATCTTTTTCTTTCTTTTATTGAATAAATTATATTTTAATTTATATTTATTATTCTTTTTAATTAAATAAAACAATAAATAGGCAAAGGTTAGCTGCACATACACCCCAATTGGGCTTCGATGCTGCGGTGTACAGACACCTCCGAGCTGCAGCAGCAAAGGATAAATAAATATTTATAATTTTTTTATGCCTTTTTATTCTTTTTTATTTAATTGTTGCCTCGTATACAGTTACGCACGTATGCATAAGGCAGCAAAAGAAGGAGCAGCAGCAGCAGCAACTGCTGCTGCTGCTGCTGCTGCTCTGTGCTCTCCTTAGATCTCTCCTTATAACTAATTGTTTGCTGCTGTTTAGTCATTTTATTAATGACAGCAGCAATACCAAGGGCACTACTGCTGTTTGCTGCTGCTGCTGCTGCTGTTGCTGCTGGTGTTGCTGCTGTTGCTGTTGTTGCTGTTGGTTTTGCAAGGAGACACCTCGTAGCAGTTAGAGACACAATAAGTGTCTCCTTTTTATTATGCTGCAGCAGCAGCAGCAAATGCATGCAATTAAAATATTATAAAGGAGACAACAAGGGAGAAAAAGAGACAATAAAATAAATTAGTGAATAAGACAATAAGGAGACACTGTATGCAAACGGCTCTCGAGCAGCAGCAGCAACAGCAGCACCACCAGCAGCAGCAGCAGCAAACGAAGATAAGTCCCTGTAGCAAGTACTTTATAATACTGCAGCCCTCCTGCTGCTGCTGCTGCTGCTGCTGCTGCAATATATAGAAGACAGAGATTATTGCATTGTTCCTGTGTACGTCTGTCTCCTTTTTTCTCCCTTTATAGGGACTTAAGTGTCTCCTCCATGGCAGGGGATTCTACGGTGTACAGGCAGCTCCTCAGGTGTATCCTCACCCTCTAGGGTATACTGACAGTCTCTAGCATGTATAGGCACCTCCTACGGTGTATAGGCACATTTTACGGTGTATAGGGAGGTATTGGGGTGTATAGGCAGGTTGTGTGTATGTTAAGGTAATTGTCTTTGCTGCACCAACCACAAAAAAATATTTCTTTAGGCCCGAGCTGCAGCCAAGGAGAAAGAGCAGCAGCAGCAGCAGCAGCAGTAGCTGTTGCTGCTGCTGCTGCAGTAGCAGCTGGTGCTGCTGCCGCTACCGCTGCTGCTGCAACACAAGCAGCAGCAACTGCAGCAGCAGCAGCATAAGAAAGTGTCTGCTAATGGTGCTGCTGCTTGTATAGAGCCCCACCAGCTGTCTCTCTATATAAGGAGACAAAAGGAGACACAAAAGGAGACAAAGAGACAAGGAGACAAACAAGGAGACACTAAGAGGAGGAGACACAATAAAGGAGACAGGAAAGGAGACAGGAAAGGAGACAGGAAAGGAGACAGTCCCTCCTATAGGCAGCACCGCCTTCTGTGCATAACACCAGGAGAAGAAGATATTCTTCTTCATACACAAATCCCTTGTGGCTGTCAATGCTGCTGCTGCTGCTGCTGCTGCTGCTGCTGCTGCTGCTGCTGCTGTAATAATACAATATATAATATATAGATTAAACAATTATATATAAATATAATAATATAATTCATGGGTCTGCTGTTAGTCTAGCTGTCTGTCCGCTTAGGGACTGCCAGAAATTTGTCTCCTTCTTCTCCCTGTACACCCCACATACACAAAAGTATATATATATTATATATATATATATATAT